GAAGAGGTACGCGAGGGTGATGACGTTGACTCGTGGCATCGCCAGCTTGGTCTCCCTTCGCTCGTGCCCCCTGTTGCGCCGCGCTGGATTACCGAACTGTCCGAGGCGTTGCGTTTTCGACTCGCCTAGAAGTGGAACTTCTGTATTCCCAGGCACATCAACATCTTAGAGACGGCTGTGTTCAAAAGCCTATGTAAGTATTGTCGTATGCGTGCCCCTGATAGTAGGATCGCCGTCCTCCTCGACTCCAAAGTCGCCCTCGGAGCGGCTGCTCACGGCAGGAGCAGTTCCCCAGGCCTTTCTCATGTCTTGAGCACGGCGTTACCCTACATCCTCGGATGGGGGTTTGTACATGGGAGGCATGTACGTCCCCACCGATGCACACCGCGCCGACGACCCGACCCGAGGTCGCGCGGTGAGGCCCCCCTCGCGGGAGGAGCCCGCCTGGCTCCAGGAGCTTTCGGCAGGTTCTCACGATCGGTTCGATATCATTGCCGCCGCCGACGCTGCGTCAGAATACCCCGCGCGCATGTGGGGCCGCATCGTCTCGCTTGTGTTGGCTGGGCCGTGGATGGCCCCCGCCGACGTCGGCGCCGCAGGGCAACCCGCTGCGGCTTCTCGCGGCGCCAGCGACGCAGATGCGCCCGCCGCTGCGTCTGGCCCACGTGAGCCACGCACCGCGCGGGACTACCGGGACGAGGGCGTGCCTAACGTTGCCGCAGGAGTTTCGGCCGATGCTGAGGCCCCTCCTGCGCCCGCCCCGCCCGACGCCCCGAGGCAACCAGCTTGCGGGAGTAGCGCCGCCGAGCCCCGGAGGGCCGATTGCGCCCGCCGCAGCAGCCCCTCCGCCCCAGGGCCGTCGATGCTAGCGCCCCCCCGGGCCGCCCATGCCCCTGAGGCGGTCAGCAAAGCCGTCGCCCGGGTTGTGAGGCGCCCCGCCCGCGCCCCTCGGCTGCTTGCCGCTCAGGAGGTCCTCCAGGTTCGCGCCAGCGCCGATCGCGCGGCCATCGAGCGTCAGTTCAGGCGCCTCGCAGGTCGGCGCCCCCTGACAATCTGAGTGGGGATCCCGCGGCGTGGCGGAGGTTTTGCGACGCTAAGTCCATCCTCCTGAACGTTGCGGGGAACGAGGGATGCGGCGCCGCGAGTTGCGCGGCGCGGTCGCCACAGGGCGTGGCCGCGGTGGGAAGACGGCCTTGTTGCGCCTTTTCCTGGCCCGCCCCCGTCGCGAGCCGCCCGCTGCACCCCCGCGGCGCGGCATCCGCCTCAGGCGCCGCGAGCCGTGCGCCCCGCCAGCGCAGGCTTGCTCCAGGAGCCGCCGCCGCTGCCCCCCCCGAAGCTGTTCACCTTCGCCCGCGGAGCCCCGGTGCTGACGAAAAGCCCTCGTCGCCCGAGAGGCCGCCTTCGGACGCGCCCTCGACGGCGTCGGACTCGCGGGACGCGCCGCCTCCGGCCCCCGAGCCAAGCCGCGCTCTTGCGCAGTTCACCACGCACCCGGCACGGGTTATCGCATCCGAGGCGGGAGCTTCCAAGGCCTCGGGCGGCGCAGCGGGGGATGTGACCTGCCAAGGCGTCCCGCTCCGCCGCGCGAGTCCCAAGTCGGCCGGCTCGGGGGCTGCCGCCCCGAGCAGTGCCGCGCACGCCGAGTCCGTAGCCACGACCGTTAGTGCGAGCCCGTTTCGCCAGGCGGGAACGAGGGCCGATCGGCCCCGCACCGCTTCCCATCGCGCGGCCGAGGGCCGAAGGGAACCCTCCCGCGGGCACAGTCCCGCTCCCGCCACAGGGGCGCCCAGGGCCCCTCCTGTTGGCCGTCCTGGGGGGCCTCGCTTCCAGGGTCCCGTCGCTGACGAGGGAGTGGACTGGGTTCAGAGTGCGGCGCTCCCTGGGCTGAGGAGCCAGGGCCGGAGCCCCTCGGCCAGAGCCGTGGCTGCCCGCCCTGCCTCGGCGCCCAGTGCCTCCCGCTCGCGGTCTACTCGCGTCCCGCGGGAGCGGTCGCGACCCCGCGACGGCGATGCCCCTCTCTCGCAGGGCAGGCGCGTCCTCCCGCGGGATCGCCCGCGCTCGCTCTCGCTGTTTCGCGATGGCTTCAATCCCCCTGACCTGGCGCCGCTCTCGCTCGATCCCTTGGCGAGCCGGGCGGCGACCTTACCAGGCCTGGTGGGTAACCTGCCCAGCGCAGGAGGCCCTCCGAGGGCCGCGCCCCTTGACGAGGAGGTGGCTGGCGCGCGCTTGCCCAGCAGGGCCGTTGCGACCTCGCAGGGGTGCGCGCGCGCCGTCGCGTCCGAGTCGGGGCGTGCCCCAAGGAGGGCACGCGTCAGAGGGGCCGCTACTGCCGCAGGCTGCTAGGCGCCGCCGCAGCCGCTGACGCCGCAGTCCCGAGAGCTGTGGCCACGGCTGGTACCGATGATGATTCCCATCTTGCAGCCGGCAGCGCCGCGCCGCCCGCAGCTTTGGACGCTGTGGCTGCTGCCCGAGCAGAGGCCGAGGCCGCTTCGAGCGCCCTGGCAGCGGCGCGCTCCGCCTCTGACGAGGCCGTCAGCGCAATCGCCGAGGTCAGCGTTGCAAAGGCGCGGGATGCCGCCGCGCTCCTGCACCAACTCTGCCTCGATGCCGAAGCAGGGCCTGCGGCAGGCGAGAGAGCGGCTGCCCTCCGAGTAGCCGCCGATTCTCTTCGGACGATTGCCCGTCTCTCAGCCGAGCGCCAACGTAGCGCTGCGGCTACTTCGGAATCGCCTCCCTCGGCCGAGGAGCCCACTCCCATCCCTCCAGTTGGCGTGAACCTCTCCGGCCATGCTACTTTGGCCCCGCAGGGGGAGGAGCGTGCCGCCTGGGGGGCTCGGGACAATCGTCCGCCCGGAGGTCGAGGGTTCGCGGCACCTGATAGTGAGGCAGGAGTTGACACGGGCTCGCACAGCGAGGCTGTTCCGGCGCCGCAGGGCGTCGCACGTGCCGCCCCCGCCTCCTTTCGACGTGCCCCGCGGCCTGCCCGCCGCCGCCGCCGCGGGGGGGGTGGCGTGTCGCCGCCGCCTCCCCGCGGTGCCGTGGAGGCGGCGGCCCACCTCGCTGCGCCCGATGGTTCAACGGCTGACGTGAGGCAGGTGCACATTCGGCAAGGGGCGTCACCAGCTGCCAGTCCGAACCCCGAGCTTCGTGCAGCCCATTCTCGGATCGGCCGCCCGGCTGGATTTCCTGACTCTCAAGTCATTCCCGCCTATGTCGTTGGGCGCGCGCGGTCGCTGCACGCGCTCGACTTGTGGATTGTCGAGCTTGCGGAGGTGGCACCTGCCTCTCTGTATCTCAGCGGCAGCTCGCGCGCAAGAGTTCTCGCGGCCTTCGGTGCGTGGTTGTGCGATGCGGGTTTTCCACGCCACGTCCTGGTGCATGCGCTCCTGGGAGCGCAGGCTCTTCACCCCCATTGGCGGGGCTTCCTCACTGAAGCGCGGGATGTTGCGAAGCGGTGGGATCCGCCTGGGCCCCACTGCCCTCTTCCACCGCTGCCGCGAGCGCTGCTGCGCGCCATGGTGGCGTTGTGCCTCACCTGGGAATGGCCAGTTATGGCCACCCTGCTGGCAGCCGGGTGCACGATGTCCGCGAGGCCTGGCGAGTGGGCAACCGCCCGCCGAAGTGATCTCTCCTTGCCCACTGACCGCCTTGAGTCCACGGGCCACGCTGTTCTGTCCATTCCTGCTCCCACGACCCGCTGGGTTGGTGAAGAGCGTCATCGCGTGCACAAAGTTCTCGATGATATTATGTCGATCGTGCCGCATCCGTCGTCGAGTGTCGCTGCACTGTGTCGTGCTCTCGGCCCTCAGCAGCACGTTCGGTGCTCCGATCGAGCAGTGGTCAGGATGATGGAGCTGGTCTTTTGTGATTTGGGTCCCACCGATCCCCTATTGACCTTCGGTCAAAGGGGCTTCCGTACTCGGTGGAACCACCTTCTTTCGGCGCTGGGCGTGCCGCTCGCCAGAGCGCCAGCGGGGTTCGATTTGGCTCCTGTGCTGCGCTTCAGGAGCGCCGCCACGGATGACATTCCTCGCGTCTTCTGGCGTGATCGTTGGCGGCAGGCTTCCAGCGCGGAGCGCTACTTGCAAGCTGCTGCCGCCTCCGAAGTGCTTCCGGCACTGCCTAAAGCCGCTCGGAACCGTGTATCTTACCTCGCCGACGCTAGCGACCTCCTTGTCGCTTCCTTCCTGAATGCTGGCCCCGCTGGGTGGTCCATTCAGCTGGCGGCCGCCCGCCGAACTCTTGACACTTCGCAAGGGCTGTGACGCCCCCCTGGGCGTCCAGGAGCCGCCGTCGGACGGCGCCTCCTGAGTGCGCCGCACGGGTCCCGCGCGTCGGTCCGCTCTCCCTTTCGCGGCCCGTCGCGCGCGCCCCGCGCGCCGCCTCCGAGACGACTGCTCCTCTGCGTAGCGAGCGGGGATGCTTCTCTTATCCCCGCCGTGCCCGCAATGCGCAGGCGGTCTGCAGCTTCTCGGCCCCCTCCCTCTCCGCCATCTTTTTTCTAAGGCAAGCCTGCGGCGCTGCCACGCCCCCCTGGGCGTCCAGGAGCCGCCGTCGGACGGCGCCTCCTGAGTGCGCCGCACGGGTCCCGCGCGTCGGTCCGCTCTCCCTTTCGCGGCCCGTCGCGCGCGCCCCGCGCGCCGCCTCCGAGACGACTGCTCCTCTGCGTAGCGAGCGGGGATCATCATCATCATCATCATCATCATCTTCATCATCATCATGATCATCATCATCATCATCATCATCGTCATCATCGTCATCATCATCATCGTCACCATCATCGTCATGGACATCATCGTATCTTCCTCTTCCTTCTCCTCATGCGCTCCCCTCTTCTCTCCTCTCCCCTTTCTTCCTTATCCCCGTCGTACTTCTACTGTTCCTCCTCCTCACCTTCCTTCCACTCTTCCCACTCCGCCATATCCGGAACTTTGTCCCTCATTATGCTCCTTCGTTCTTCGTACTCCACCTTCCCCTTATCCCTTATCCCTCACTCCTCCTCCTCTTCCGCCTCCTCCCTCGTCCTCCCCTTCCCTCGTCCTCCTCCTCCCCCTCCTTTCCCTCCTTTTCCTCGTCGTCGTCCTCCTCCACCTCCTTCGCCCTCCTCCTCCCTCCTGCTCCCCTTCCGGGCGAGGCTACCCCGGCCATGTTGGCAGCTCTGCGTGGCAACGCGGAGGCCCGTCGCCGTCGTGGCGGTGGTCGCCGTCGAGCCAGGGTCGTCGGGACCGTCGTGGTCGACCGCCGTCGTCAGTGGCCAGCGTCGTCGCGGTGTGCCGTGGCCGTTGCAGTCGCCAACATCGTCGTCTTCGTCGTCTCCTTCCCCTGCCTCGTCGTCGTCGTCGTCGCAAACAGCCCACGGGAAAGACCCTCCCCAACGCGTCCGTGGCAAGAACGCCATTTGCACGCATTCAGAGCATGCGCCATTCCGCGTCGGATTTGCTTGTGTTCGGCGAAGGCCAATCGGACAACGCTCCTCGAGTTTTTCGTGTGAGTTGAGTTGGCTTGAGTTGATTTGACTTGAGTTGAGTTAAGATGAATCGTCGTCGTCCTCGTCCTCCTTTTTCTCCTCCTCCTCCTCCTCCTCTTCCTCCTCCTCCTCCTCCTCCTCCTCCTCCTCTTGTTCCTCCTCCGCCCCATTCTGAGTCAGTCTTCCTCCTCGCCTAGGCCAAGAGTGTCGGTCCAGAAGCGAAGAAGGTCTTTCGCCCAACGGTGCCAGGGGTTTGTTTGGGGACAATCCCATACAAGAGTAGTCGTCTGGTGGCCAGGCGTTCGTCGTTCGTCGAAAAAAAACACCATTCCTCCTGCCACTGCGCAAAGTCTCTGAAACGCATACCAGCGCATGTGGCGGCGACGAGAAGGCGACGTGCGCCCACAGTGCGAAATCCTCGACACGCCAGCCATTTACGCATCAACCAAAAAGTAAACACCCTCAGTGCAAGTTACCTTCGGGATTGATGGGTAAACATTCGGAGGTCCGCGTAACTTTTTTGGGTTTGCGCTGGATGCCCTCTTGGCGGCGCCTCAGACACCGTTACCGGCGCGCTTTGCGCGCCAGGGAGGGGAGGGGGGCCGACCACCGAACTTACAGGAGAGTGGAGGATCAGACGAAGGAGCCACGTATCCCGAGCACCAAAGTGGTACTTCAACCATCGCGATCTTTGCCTCGCAGTCGAGGGTTGCCTCGCGGCCAGACAGCACAGAGTAATAGAACAACGAGCGGGCAACGGGAGGCTGGCCGGCGCTCGGGTCTTCGAATGAAGGTCCCGCGAGGGAGCAAGGTGGAGGGAAGGATCTGAGTGTGGAGAATGGGAGGGCGAAGAGGATGAGGCCGACGGCGACAATGATGAGAAGGAGGACGAAGACGCGGAACAGCTAGCCCCCAGGCGCCTCTGCGGTTGCAGGCGCCCGCGATCGAGGGAAGGGATGGCTATTCGGCAGGGGGCACGATGATGTGGCCCCAAGGGAGGCGTCCATCTGGGCCCTCTCTGTCCAGGCACGTAGCCATGTGGCGAGGACGAGGGAGAGGAGGACGGGGGCAGGGGATGGGGAGGCGGAGGAGGAGCAGAGTTTCTTGAGCATTTCGTTAGGTGTCTGCACCGGAGAAACGCCACGCGTTGGGAATGACAAGTGGGACAGCACCCGCCTTTCCCCCCGCACCACACACTAACCCCGTCAATGCTGTCGAGGCCTCGGGCAGACCACCGCCAGATGAAGGATGAGGAGGATGGAGGATGGAGGATGGAGGAGGAGCATGAGGAGGAGCTTGAGGAAGAGGAGGAGGAGGAGGAGGAGGAGGAGGAGGAGGATGCGGAGGAGGAGGAGGAGGAGGAGGAGGAGGAGGAAGAGGAGGATGCGGAGGAGGAGGAGGAGGAGGAGGAGGAGGAGGCGGGGGATGAGAAGGAGCAGAAGGAGGAGGAGGAGGAGGACGAGGAGGAGGGGAGAGGATGACGTGAAAAGGGGGAGGCAGGAACGATGACAGATGACGAGAGCTCCCCCACGTGCCCCCAGCCTCGCCGCGCGACTCCTCTGCGTGGTGCTGGCCTCTGTGAGCGAAGGGGCGTGGGCCCCTCAGCGGCACAAGAAATATGCCCACGGACGAAGTGAAACACGAAACGCTGGTGGAATGCCACCAGGCGCGCTGCTGCTTCCGCCGCCGCTTGGCGGTACCCCCATGGAGCCCCCCGGCGGTCTCCACTGGTCCCCAGAAGTCCTGGAGCTCTCCAGCGGCATTGAGAGGCCTGAGAAGAGCCAGCAATTTCTCTAAACTTCGAGGCTCCGGGTCCTCGGACCTCGATCCTCCACCCATTCACGAGGCGACTGGCCCATCTTCCTAATCGTGCTTCCGGCGAGCAATCTCCTCGTCCTAATCTTCGCCCTCCTCTCCCTCGCCCTCCTCCTGACCCACCTCGTCGTCTCGCTCCTGCTCCTCGAGCCTCGATCATCGAGCCTCGATCACTACCTCATCTGCGAGGCCGCTGTCGGGTCGGACGAAAGGGAGGGAGGGAAGAGCCTGCTGCAGGCATGCACGTGCAGCTGCTGTCGGCCCGCGCTTTCCCTCATACAGGGCCGCCTCTGCCGCTGGGCGGCGCCAGGAGCAGCAGCTGCATGCCGCTGATTCGCGGACCCCTTCCCCGCGATGGTTCTATGCCTCCCAGATGGGGTCTGAGTAAATGGGGTTGGAGGATCGCGCCGTATCGTCGATGCATCGGCGATGCGGCTCGCTGTGGAGCCCGCTTTTGTCCACGCTGGCGTCGCCGATGCATCGACGATGCGGCGCGACCCTCCGACCCCATCTACTCGACGCCGTCTAGGAGGCCTCTACTGCTCGGGCCGAGCGAAAGGGAGGGGGTAGGGGGGGGAGGAGGAGGAGGAGGAGGAGGAGGAGGAGGAGGAGGAGGAGGAGGAGGAGGAGGAGGAGGAGGAGGAGGAGGGGAGGAGGAGGAGGAGGAGGAGGAGGAGGAGGAGTAGGAGGAGGAGGGGGGGCCGACGAAGAGGATGGGGTTGCGAAGTCTGCTGCACGCAGCTGGTCCCGTCCCCGCCGCCGCCGGGCTCGTGCCTCGATGCACGGGCGCCTGCCGGCGCCCGGGGGGCGCCAGGAAAGCTAGCTGCGTTTAAGTCGGGCGTGCCCCTCTACAGGGGGGAAATTCAAAAATACTCCAGAAATAATATGGGGACTATTTTTGAGCATGTGTTCCCCATTTTGGAGTATGTTTGGGGGTATTCTTTATTTTTCGTCGAAAAACTACGTGAGCTGAGTCTCTGCCCTGCCCCCCGTCGCGTCCGACTCCAAGAGTGCGGCCTTAGCCCACCGCCTGCTGCCTCCCCGCCCCTCTCTCCTGCTCCTCCTGCTCCCGCGTTCCCTCCCTCCTCTCCTCCTGCTCCCTTTTCTGCGTCGAGCGGACTCTTAGGTGCCAGGCTCGCAGAGTCCTCGTCCTCCTCCTCCTCCTCCTCCTCCTCCTCCTCCTCCTCCTGCTCCTCCTCCTCCTCCTCGAGCCTCGATCGTGCTCCTCGTCCTGCCCTCCTGCTCCCGCCTTCCTCCCTCCTCCTCCCCCGCTCGTCGTCTCGGGGCTCTCGGCCGGCGCGCTCCCGCCGCCCAGGCCCTGCACATGCTCATCGCATCTGGCGCGCGGGTGGCGCCGGCGGGCCCAACCACCAGAGCGCCCTGGCCACCGCTGCCGCGCCGTCGTCCTCGTCGCCCCTCGTCGCCGTCCTCGTCCTCCTGCTCGTCCTCCTGCTCGTCCTCCTGCTTGCCTCCTGCCTCTCCGCCTCCTGCCGCCCGGCCGTTCGCCCCCTCACACACCAGCCCTCTCTTGTGATCTCACGCTCTCTCCTTCTCTCTCTCTTTCCTTCCCAGCCTTGGCTCGAGGACCCCCCCCCGTGGCCCGAGCGCAGCCGTCTGGCGCAGCTCCTCCCGCCCGAGGTTTTCCAGAGCCCTCCCCGCGGGGCTCGGCTCGCTTCTCCGAGTCTATCGGCCTCCCAGATGGGGTCGTCGAGCAGGTGGCGGCGACGCATCGGCGATGCATCGGCGACGTCGGCGTGGAGAGAAAGTCGGGATCCACATCGAGCCGCACCGCCGATGCATCGGCGATGCGGCGCGATCCTCCGACCCCGTCTGGGAGAGGCCCCCGCCCGGGAGGGCCCCCCCTGCAGAGGGGAAGCAGAGCTGCGCCGCCTGCTCCGCCTGCTCCGCCGCCTGCCCGCTGCGCGAGTGCCTGGGCACGGCATCTCGCACCGTCGACCACCCGCGATGACCGCGATGAGGCCCGACCGCCATCCGCAGAGCGAAGTCGGGCGTGTCCCTCTCCAGGAGGAAGCCTTACAAAGACGGTGATGGAAAAGAGCTGCGGACGATGTTTCTACTACTTTTGACTATGGCTGAAGATGTGTTGGCTTTTTTTTAGTGTCGCTTCAAAATCCGCCGCTGGGGAGGACATGCCCGACCCAGCCGCAGTGCCCCGTGACCGGCCGCGCGGGGCGGCTGCGGCTGCAGCGGGCCCTGCCCCGCCGTGGCCGCCCTGCTCCGCCGCCTGCCGCCGGGGCCCCCCCCCCGCCCCACGCGCGGGGCCCGGGCGGGGTGGGAGCAGCTGGGGCGGAGGAGGAGGAGGAGGAGGAGGAGGAGGAGGAGGAGGAGGAGGAGGAGGAGGAGGGTCGCGCCGCACCGCCGATGCGTCGACCCGATTTTCCCCGCGCCGACGTCGCCGATGCATCGGCGAAGCAGCGGCGACGCGGCGCGATCCTTCGGCCCCATCTGTTGCTCGGACCCCGTCGAGGAGGCCTCTGCACCCGGACCCCCCGCCCCACAGGCGGGCGGCGAGGAGATCATCTGCGTCCAGGCTGGAGAGCGCAGGCTGAGGGTGAACCATCCTTCCAGCCCCGTTGCTCCCAGACCACCATATCCACCACCATTTGGCGTAACGAGTAGGCGTCCATAGCGACGATCGTATCCGCGAGCTCCGAGCAGACCGTTACGCCGTCCGTGCGAAAATGCACGAGCTTATTCAGAGTTCCGCGCAGATTTTCAAATTCTTCGGCCCGTAGCACGGCGTACGACTGCACGGTAGTGTTTGCCCTTGCTGGGGCTCCGCTTACACCCTCTCGTTTGGCCTGCGAGGCCATGTGGCTGGCGGGGAGTCACGCGGTCGACGACAACTACGACGACGACGAGGAGGAAAAGGAGGAGGAGGACGACGGCGAAGAGAAGGTCGACGCACCGCCCATCCATCGCCTTCCTCGCCCACCGCCTTGTGCACCCGTGCCCTATTGTACGCGACTGCATTGAAACGGCTGCGTACACCCGCTCAGCGATCGCCCGTGCCGCCGTTGGGCAGCATCGCAGGCGATTTTTTTCTCCCCCGACCCCCCTGGGTTTCGTTCGAAAAGTTTGGCCGCTCGGAAACATCAGGGGGAGCCCTGGGATACACCCCAAGGGGGCTTTATTCGGACGCACCCCTACCAAGGATGGCCGCCCCCCCTCCCCCATCGGATATCCCAGGGTTGGGCCCCACGCTGCTGGTCCAGTCGGAAGCCTCCCCAAGCCTGGGATATTGGGGGTCGACCTGTCCCCTGTCGCAGCACGCCCCCCGCGCTCTCGGGGCCGCTCCCCCAGCTCCCGGCGCGGCCCCGCCCCCCCCCCCCCCCGGGGGGCCGCGGCCCCTCTGCCGGGGTCTCCCCGCGGGCCGACATGCGGAGGCCCGCCTCCGCGAGGTCGCACGGCAACCAGAGTCGGGGGGCGGCAAGGAGGGGGAGGAGGAGGAGGAGGAGGAGGAGGAGGAGGAGGAGGAGGAGGAGGAGGAAAAGGGGGTGAGGGCCACAGCCGAGGGTGATGAGCAGGTCGGCCCTGCCCAAGCAAGGGTACCCCCTTGCGTCCTGTGTTTCGCGACCCATGCCCTCTACGTTCCACTGGCAATGTGACCATCGGAAGAGTCTTGTGTCCGCTCGCGCGTCCTCTCCAATCCACCCCGACTGTAGGGGGGGGGGGGTATCGTGGCGGGGGCCATGATATTTCTCCAGATATCATGGCGCCTCTTCTTGTTTCAATACGTTCCCCCCCCCTTTGGGCCCCCCTCTTGGACGCCCGCCTCTTGGCCGCCCCCGACAGACGTCGAAGGCAACGTTAGGAAGGGGGCGTACATTCGGCCTGGATTCGTAGGTCGGTCCTGCCAAGTCAACGATGCCCTTGTGTCCTCTGTCTCGCGACCCATGCCTCCCACATTCCTATGGCAATGTGGCCCTCGGAAGGGTTTCGTGTCCTTTCGCGTGTCCTGTCCATTCAAGTCCGACCGTAAGTTCAGGGGGGGATGCATCGAGTCCGGATCGTCTATTGATCGCCGATAGGGGCCCGATAGCTCCAACCCGCGCAGGAACGTGCGGGTACGCTATCCAGGCCCATCGCCGATCTGGTTGCGCCTCAACCGCGGGACAACCCCGCGCCGCCCGCGCTGGCACGGATGGGTGGGCAGCTGCTGACGTGGTACGCCCTTGGCTAATTAGGGCAGGCTATGTTCTCGCACCTGGGCAGCTTCGCCATGCTCGCTCGCACGGCACGGGCCGAATGCGGAACCGATTGCCTGGCGGACTCTCCAATCCACGTCGGTGTAAGCCCCGAACCTCTGACTTGCGCCCTGCTTTCAAAATGCAATGTTTGTTGCCAGGACGGCGCCGCTGCAAAATTGCGCTGGGCCGCCGCGTCAGCTGGAGCGACGAAGCACATGTGGACATCGGAAGCGCGTGGGTCTGCAGGCTTGTTCATATATTGACCTTATGTGTATATATATGTATATATACAAGACTGCAGTGGCGCTTCGCGCCATGCACCTTGGTCCTTGAAGTTTGGTACGCAGGCGGAATAGCAGGAATGTCAAGCCGACACTTAAGAGATAAGTCCTTGTTGCCTTTTCCGGCATCGCCGCTATAATAATGTTATTCGTTATCCTTCCTCCATGCTTCGTTTTCTTTATTTTCGCCGTACCCGGCGCATTCTCCCCATCCTCCTCAGCTCTTTGCGGAGGCTCCTCCTTGGAGAGTATCTGGGGGCCTCACAAAAGTTGTTTCAGGCTTTCTTAAGGCCTTCTGGAGGCCTCCTGGGCGTATTCTGGGGGCCTCAGGGGACTTCCTCGGGTAGCCCTGCCTCCAACCGCGGTCTCCCTGAACGACCGGGTCACGATTTGGAATGCTTCGGAGGGTGTCTTGGGGCCATCTTGGGCCGCCATGGGGCTCTCTGAGGGCCATCTTGGACCCGTGTTGTGCCGTTTTGAGGCTCTCTTGGACTGCCTGGAAGCCCTTTCGGATGGTTGTGGGGCGATGTTGGAGCCTCCCAGGCGGCTTCGGACGCCCAGAAGACCGCCGACTTTGAGCGTCGGGAAGCCGAAAAGAGGAGAACCCCAACATTCAGCAACAACCAACAGAAAATCAAAGATTTGTGCCTCTTGGGGCCTTCTTGGGAGTGCTCTTGGAGGCATCTTTGGGGCCGTCCTGGAGGCCTTTTGGGCCACCTTGAGGTCACGTCGGTCACTCTTGGAGCGCTCTTGTGCTGTCTTGGGGGTCTCTGGGACCTCTCCGATGACCCCCCTGATCGCCCTAGGTGTGCTGGGAAGGCTTGGCAAAACGCCCTGCGAGGCCCGGGGGGCCGCTTCTAGGCCTGTCCCAAAGCCCCAGATCCGGGAGTCCGGTTTTTGGGGGGGGGACGAGTTTTCCCCCCGCCCGGGCTTGTAAAAATATAGGAAGTGGAATGTGCGTAGATAGCCATCGTTTGAGAGATTCGTGTTGGGAGATCTCCATGGGCGGTGGATGCGGATACACTCGGGCTTATTTTTTGGCGGGGTTATATGTCCATACCCATCACCTGCCGAGGTCCCCGACAATCGGTCACCCCGGCAGTAATTGCGGATCAATCCCCGCCTCGCTTGTTCATAAGTGGTAGTTGATTTGGCCATCTCTCCGAATGTCATAGTGCGGGGGGGAAAGGTTGAGGATGCCGTACGGGGCCGTCTGGGTGACCACGCACGGGAAGCCGCTTAGGCAGGCGGGTACTGCTGATGGCGGAGGTGGCGCTTGGGCTGGCTGGCCTCCTCCTCACGCCCGCCTGCGACTCCGAACTGCGCGAGGGCGCCGTCGGCATTGTATCTCCAGTCCCTGACGCGCCTGTCGACCTTTGCCCCACTGGAGGATGAGTCACCGCCCACCAAACCACCCCAACCCAACCCGAAGGCCCCAATTTGTCCTCCATTTCCAGTTGGGGGGGGGTCGGGGAACGTTGAGAAAACACACATGAAACCCGTACCCCCCCCCCTCAACCCGAAATTCGGGTCTTCGGGTTGGGTTGGGGTGGTTTGGTAGGTAGTCAATGAGGGCGTCGGCGACCTGCCGCTCCTTCTGGCCCGTCGGCCGAAAGAGCCGCCGGCTGGAGCGGGCCCGCCGGGCGGGGGAACGGCCTCCCTCCTCGACTCCGCCGCAGGCCCACGCCTCGCGGTCCAGGCCTCCCTGCTCGCACCCACACCCGCTCCTCCTCCTCCTCCTCCTCCTCCTCCTCCTCCTCCTCCTCCTCCTCCTCCTCCTCCTCCTCCGCCCTCCTCCTCCCCGGAGGCGCCGCCGAAGGTGGACATGATGGTAGTTGCCAGCGGGGAGATCACCG